GTAGTAGTAACAGCAGTAGTCGTAGTCATAGTCGCAGTCGGAGTCAGAGTCGTAGTCGTAGTCGTAGTCGTAGTCGTAGTCGTAGTCGTAGTAGTAGTAGTAGTAGTAGTAGTACCTAGTATTGGTACTCGTACTAGAACTAGTACTAGTACCAGTACTAGTACAGCAGCACCGGTGTTAGTACTAGTACTACCACTAGCACTAGTACTAGTACTTGTAGTAGTACTAGTAGTAGTAGGAGCAGCACTAGCAGTAGTAGTTGTTGTTGTCCTCTGGTTGAATGCCCTGGAACTTCTATCTTAGACTGATGTCCAGACTAAAACCTTGGGGCTGCAATTCTTGTGCTGGTGCAACCTGAAGGTTTGTCTTACGCTGGCAATGCTGAGGTTCCTCTTTTTTGCTGGATCTGACATCTGACTTTTTGTTGGTGCTGGGGTCGTCCATTTATGCTACACCCGGCTTGTCTTTATACACCTTCCTTCATGCTAACCTCGTTTGTTGTTAGGCGGAAGGGGTTTTTTGCGAAGGGTGCAGTCCAAGTTCTCTGGGTGGCCGGCAGGTAAACGCAGGCACCAGGACATGATGAGATGGATCCGAGACACCCAGAGCCTGCGAAGAATTGACGATCTCAAGGGTTGGCTCCAGCTGGGATGCGAAAGTCAACGGACCGTGCCCCTCAGGCCAGCTGCGAGTGCTACCGCGTGCACTAGACTCCGAAAATTCAAAGCAGGTGAGAAGCGAGTCTTGGCCTTCATGGCCCCGTACAGGGCAGCGGTACCGCTCTGCACCGCACATGCCTCAGTCTCTCTACAAGGGAGATTCACCCAGCCAAGGGGCTTGGAGCCCAGGATCGTCGATGGGCTTCCAAGACGGTGCGAGATTCAAACACCCAGTGCAGGGTATCTAAGGAGCGGGCTGCGGAGCAGCCGCAAATGCGGGCCAGGTGCTTCTCGAACTGCTTCACCTGTAGTATCGAAACTAACTTTGTATCAGTGTGTAGAGCTGGGGTCGACGTCGTAGGCGCCGGTCGGGTCTATTGCTTGGGGGATCGGGCGCGGCATTGCAGCTAAGCCACATACGGCCCTTCAACACCTCAGCACGAGAGTAACACGCTGCACCCGAGGAATTCTGCCCTGCACAACCACGAAAAACAACTTCAAATCCAGATCACGGCAAGAATGCCTGCGTGCCCGTGCCGAAACCAACTTTTGATCCTGACCCCAGTGCATACATGCGTTTTGTGAGTACAGCTGATCCCACACCCAGCGGACAAAACCATTGAAAGCCTATTCGGAGCTTTTCCAGATTTTGCATCTCGCAAAAGTGGTCTTCGACTACAGAGTCCCACAGAAGCTGTCAAGCTGCAGGGAATGCCTATGGCACTTCGCTGGACCTTTGTGTTTAGACTCTCCTTGTTCTCAGTAGCAATTCCTGTGGCACTGGGGAGCCCTAGACCTCCTTACGCCCGCCGCACCTGGCAAAGTGCCCCGCAGGAACATGCCCGGTGTGGCGGAGGGACAAGATTGTTGCCAAAGCTGGCACGTGCAAGGTGCGTCCTCTCCAGAATGCACATCTTTACAATGTCAAGTCTCATCAGTGATGCCCGTGCACTAAAAGGCTCGCATGCTTGTCTTCGCCTGAAACGTCTTTGCAATTTCCGGACCCACCAGAACGTAAAGACGCTGGCAGCTTCAGGGAATGCAACATTGCAGGTGCTGGGTCCACTCTTAAAGTTCGTAGGTCTTGCATCGGGCATCAAGATGGGAAACGCCAAGAGAGTCAACGGCCGACCACTAGGCAATATTCACCGGCTGCTGTCAGCGAATCACAGACAAGCTATACACAAGACTATTTCCTTTGAACCACTTGTTTACCAGGCGATTTCGTGAGAGCTCAAAGTGAAAAGCAAGAGGATTGCCAATCAGGTCGTCCAATGTAAACCCTGCTCTATGATCTGGCAGAACTGGGACATCCTGAACTCCTAACTTGACGACAAGCCTCTCGAAACTTAAATGCTCTGTCTCTCCTATTTTCTGTTGTGGGGCACGGAGTTCTAGCCCTTGCACAACATCGCACACCAGGTGCGTGCGACAGGAAATCTTGCGAAGCGACAGATAAAAGCATCTGCAGCGATCTCTTTGCGACGAAACCCAAAACCCTAAACTGTTCTTGCTCAATTGTTTAGATGATCGCTGCAGTTTTCGGCTTCTCAAGATTCGGCAGTATTAGGATCTCGGGGTCTGTACAGCATGGATGCGGACGATTGTATTGTAGAAGTCGTCTACCTGAGATGGCACGTCCTAAAGGGGTGTTTATGTCTGCCGCCTTGGCCGGTTTTGGGCGGAACCAAGACTCTGCTGTGATTCCATGATATACCATGACCTACTATATCATCGTATCATTTACGTACGACATACTACCACATACAATAAGATTCTGCCGTGTCGCAGCCAAGACGATGATCCGAAGCCTTGCAAGTCAGCTCAAGCTCCAAACTGCAAAATCCACAAGGGCATGACAAGGGCACAGCGTCTGAATGAGCTATTGTTTTGCCGGGCAGGAGGGATTGCAGTGTGCCTCTTAACACCGTTCATTCCATGACCTTGCATGCCACTCTACTTTCAACGTTGACCGTACAGCTTTCGGAGGTGGCTTCCAAAGAACCCACTCCAAGAATGTGCGCCGTAGTCACATTCCTGTCGGGGTTGCCGCCCTTCCTGCGGGCTCCCTCCCAACATGATCCGTCATGAAGGCCCACCCCCGCATCTCAACATCCCCACGTTAGAAGATGCACAGATACTTTTTTCTACAGGGTCCGAATCCCAAAGCCACTGGTCTGATCCATCCTGGATGTCCGCTACAAAGCCCTATCCCAATGTCGACAAGTTAAACTAAACTAGAATCTTCTTACGTGAATAGTGGGGTACCCCTAGCTTCGGGGTTCTAGTTTCGGATCGGCATGGGGGTAGTTTCGGATCAAGGCGGGTGAGTTTCGGGGCTGAGTTTCGGATCGGCGGGGGTCAGTTTCGGATCGGGCGGAGGTCAGTTTCAGGGTGCCGGGGGGGGGGGTGGGGGATGTTGCGAGGTTCTGATCCGAAACTGACCCAGGGCCGGACCCGAAACTGAGACCCGAAACTCAACACCGAAACTGACCCTGAAAACCCTGAAACTCACAACTTCCGTGAATAGTGAATAATCACAATATGCTGGATTCACCCATCTCTTGCCGTGTCCAACCCCGCATGTTTGAGTAGTGAAAACCATGTAGCTTGCCGGATGTGCCAGATGCATCCTTTGCTCAAGACTCATTCTCAAGACGACGGACGGCTGCTGCGCTCAAGTCACACAGCCTCGTGGCACATCACTCCTCCTGTCGGGCAGCATGCTGCATGTCGACCTACACTCCGAGGACTTGCTGCTCCTTGCGAGCCACTCTGGCATTCGGGAAACCCAGTCCTGCAGCCACCTCTCCGCCAAGGCCTCTCAGCAAGACACACCAGCTTCCCAGCACCCCTGACGGACTACGGACTACGGAAAGCTCACCGTTCCGTGACTTTTCGTTTCGTGACCAGGCGCCTCCCTGGCCGAGGGGCGGCTTCTCGGATCGACGGTCAGGAGGGCCTCTCTGCAAGGCGGCACGGGGCTTCGTCCGTGGAGAGCAGGACTGCCTCCACGAAGCGGCGGGCGGAGGGTGAAACGGAGCTTGGCCTGAGAACCGTGAGAAGCTTGGCCAAAGGAGGTAAGGAAGTGCTGATGGAAGCTCCGTCACTCTAGGACTCGCACAGCTGTTGGACAAAGCCAACCCGAAGATGCCTTGAGTCAAGCAGTCTTGCGAGATGCATAAGCCGCCAGGTCAGGACAATAACATCGCGTTCCGGAGCTAAGACTCCCTGCCTTCGCGGCGGACGGCCACTGAGGAGCGCATGCACGGTGCAGCCAAGGGAGAACACGTCGCCTGACATTGGGAGTGAAGCAGTTAGAAATCCTGGGCACTGCAAGAACAGGACTGTGACTCTTCAAGCTGCTCTGGCCAGCCAAGAGACACTTCTTTCCATAGGGCCGCTCAGAGAGCACCTTTGCATCACGAGCGTGTATAGACCTCCATGTTGACATTTCAATGGCTTGACTCGGTCTGCGACCTCTGGAGCCACGTAACCTCGCGTTCCGAGCTCCCCGGTCAACGTCTCCTCAGACAAGAGACTCTCGGCGACCTCACGAAGGACATACGCCACAACAGAGCCTCGTCCCCACTGATCAGCGCGGCATGTGAGAAATCGATAAGCTTCGGATCCTGCAGTCTGAAATGCGGTGTCGAGAGCACAAGCATTCCAGCAACCTGTCTCCAACCCGAAGACATAAAACCGATCCGGGAGAAGCCGCTTGGAAAAACATGCAGATTTGGTTCTGCTGAGAGAAAAGGAAACCTTCAGGGATGATTAACCGGCTTTGTCGGGAAACTCATGTCACATCGCACGGTAGACTGTCCTCCTCCCCCTTGCTGAAGAGCACATTTCCAGGCTTGAGATCCCGATGCACGACGCCTGTAACGAAACACCTCTCACGTCATCGCATGATCGAACAAATTTCCAGCCTTGGTCATGCAGGCTGGCCAGTCCCTGGCAGACACTCCTGGCTGCATGCTTTCATACGCCATCGTACGGCTCATACTGCTACTTGCTAGGGATTTGATCGAGTACAAATAGTCGCCGGGACCCAGTGACTGACTGTAAGAACAATACACACCAAAAGGAATCCCTGTTCGTCACAACATGGAAAGAACGTGAGGCTTCGCCTTTGCCTGGCTGTGGCCAAAAAAACTCTTCATGAAGGCCTTGCATAATGCACCGCTTTTCTATCGTGCTTGTTGTCCCCCGCCAATCCCCGCGATGCACTGTCATCAGCTGCTGGTTGAAACGAAGCTCCAAATAGGGCTGAAGGGTGTAAGTGGGGGTTCACCATCTGAAGCCAGGACAGGGCAACGGAACTAGGAGACAAGGCGTACGAGATCTAGCTGCAGGGATGGCCATCAGACTGACCAAGACTGTGTCTGTAAGCCGCCCTTTGAAGGGAAATCACAGGACCCCTCTGTGATTCATAGCTTTCTGCGGGGACTAGACACGTTGCAACAAATATTCTCTCCTGCAAAATCAACCACCGCACAGTTTCACAGGCATGTGCTATCCATTTCTGGTTGCAGAGCTGCCGACGTGGTTTTGGAACTGAGATCTTGCGAGTAACCTTGTGCAGAATTCCTGGAACCCGGATCCTGAAGAATACGAGTTAACCCGAAGAGTCGAGAGGACACATGTGTTGGCAGGCTGTGCCCAGCCTGATGATGCGCCGCGCTGTCGCCTCTTCCATACCACCTGCCTGCAGGCAGTCCTCCAAAGAGCCTCCTGGGTGCATCAAATGATGGCCAGCAGGCTGCTACACCGAGCTGTCGTCTCTGACAACACGATCTGTCGAGGACATGTCTACATGCCACAGTCCTGCCAGAAGTTCTGTGACAAAGTAGTGCACCTGCTCATCCTGCAGGGAAACATCCGAGATGACAGAGAGCCAGCAGTTTACATGTTTAATTCACCGACCTCGCTGCCGAGACCTTCGAATCGACCTGAAGTTGGGAAGCAATGGCGGGCCACAACAAGCAAGTGCTTTTGATCTTGGCTGCCGGGCCAACCAGCTCCACAACATTGGGGTGTGGCGGGCCTGGAAACCCAAACTCTTTGAAGTCTTGCCAAGTCATGCGAAGGAGGTATTGGAGATCGTCACGACTGTTGCGGCCCTTCAACTCCAAAGCGGACACGACTGCAGCAGGTGGGAAAGGCTTTGATGACCTTTGGCAGTCTACCAGCCGTGTCGAACTTCGGGGGCGAAGCCCCGGCAAACGAGTTGACCTGCAGTGTACCCGTGGTGTCCGCCGCATCTGTGCCTATGCCTCTGGACATCCAACAACAAACAACTTGACCAAGCCTTCCTGAAGATAAAAATCCGGCTTCTCTCTCTCTCAGAAGCTGACAAGCGATGAGTCCGAAATAGGTGTCTGTGTGTGTGTGCACGAAAAATACACACAAAAAATCTACAATGCATATATGTAGCATAACATAAGTATACATGCTAGAACTCTCAGTGCATCATCGCCTTCACGAAACATTGGAGTATATTGTATGTTGAACGCTGAATATAGATCTGCATGCGCGGGGCTAGTCGAATGGCTGAAATGCAAACGCACCACTGCGCCAATACGTTGTCAATACGATGTTGGGGACATCCTCTTGTACGCCAATGCACACCAAAGTCGAGGGAATGAACGTATGTGCCAATATGCAAATGCACCCATAAACAACCTACCATCCCCAAATTGTCTTGCACAAGAAGAAACATCAACAATGAAATCCTAACCTCAACCCGTCATCCCGAAACCTTGAACCCAAGCCCCTGAACCTTGACCTTCGACCCCGGCTTGACTCTGACCCCCGAAACTCAACAAATTCAAAGCCTTTCCGGCTAGTTCGGGTGCTTAGGTGTCTGCACTAACATACTGCTTCTTTTTGCATTCATTCCTTCATATGGTTCCTTTATGATTCATTTGTGTGATAATACAATATTCCTATAGAGCATAGACGTCCCAGAAGCTGCTTGCCTTCGAGCAGGTGATCGAAGGCTGTGCTCTCGTTGCAAATGCCTGTGGCCAAGCATTCAGCAAACACCTCACAAATCCTGAGCCTTAGATGTACCACTGGCAACACTACCAGTACCCTTTCTCCTCCTCCTCGCTCCAAAAACGTCTACTCTTGCTCCAGTCCTGCAAACTACTACGTCTGCGTCCGGCTGTATGTCTTCTGCTACTACTAGCACTGGCACTGCTGCTGCTACTGCAAGTTCTACTAGTGCCACTAGTAGCACGAGTACCACTGGCACCACTGGTGCCACCAGTACCGCTAGCACTACCAGTACTACTAGCACTACCTCTGCCACTGCTACTGCGACTGCCACTGCAAGTGCGACTGTGACTGCGACTGCAGTACCGCTACTGCTACTGCCACTGCTACTGCTGATGCGGCTGCGACTGCGACTGCTACCGCCACTGCTACGGCCACTGCTATCGCTGCTGCTGCTGCTGCGGCTAAGACAGACTGCTATGACTTTTGAACGTCCCGGTTTGCAGCAGTTGCCACCGTTGCTCTCCGTGATTGTTCAGATTTTTGCCCGCACTTCGGCGCGACTCTGAAGAAGACCTCTGCGCTTTGTGAAGTCTCCCCTTCTCTGTCTTTCGAACGTTCCCAGCAGTAAACATTGTCACAATATGTCACAATGCAGCACCAACATTAATATCAACATCACCATCATCTGAATCATCATCATCAAGTGATAACACTACGTTCACTGTCAACCAGAAGGAACAAACTGGAATTCAGATGCAATGTGCTGCAATTCCATCTCCCTGCTTCACCAAGTGTCAACGGGGATTGCTCCAACATGATCCAATCCAAGGTTACCACAGGTGCACGACGCAGAACAATCGAAGACTAGAACAATAGGCCAGTGTGATTCCGGCGCAAGCAAGCTGCGCGAGTGACAAAGAATGCCATGCAATGCCCAGCTCACCTGAAGCCACGGGCAGGGCCCCTGTCTCCGTGGGCAGTGCCGTGCTCATGGCCTTGCAAGTGATGTGCAGCTCTCAACGAAAGCAGCATGATGCAGCTTGGAGGAACATACAACAAAATCCTTGGCGCTGCCACAGTCGTGAATGTCACTCATGACACAGAGCCTTCACGGCCACATCAAAGTTGCTGCTTCTGTGCTTGCCAGCCTCATTGCATCAAACGTCGAATGAACGTGATACCAAAGCCAGCCTTGCCGCAGTCATGTCAAAGTGGGGACATGCTTGGTCAATGGCAAAAACCACTGAGCAAGCTCCCCTTCCGACAGGAGACTCGAAATCAACCTGCACAGCAACCACAAAGCTCCGGCACGGATCTAGACAAAGCTGGCACGAACTGCAACTCTGGGCAGCCAGAGCAGCATCTTGTCGGAAGAGCTGGCAACACTGTCGTTTTCAATTGTATGAGACTTTGACGGGGATGAGAAAACCGGTGTTTCCTTCTCTGCACATTTTGACATTAGGTTTTCTCTGGCAACATTATCCAAAAAAGCAGTGATCAGACAATGCTTTAAAGTACCAATACAGGGTCGGAGGCAGAGGTGCAAAAGTGGCGTTGATCACTTGCCCGAGATGTCGAGAAAGATAATTGAAAACCAAATCACGGCTTACACGGGCAACAAAATCACGCGGCATTCGCTGGTGAACGAACAGTCCACGCTGCCTTTGCTGGCCTAGCTTGACCCGTAGCCATCAGGGCTTCTCGGCTGCGTCGCAGCAGGATTCAAGAGGGAACTGAAAAGGAACCTATTGAAATGAAACACTTAATAATTCAGATGCCTCAAACTCCGAGAGGAATCGTGGCCGAGGTTGATTCAGGGCCGCGAAGCGCTGACGTCCTGCAGCAAATCTGGACGAAGTACCCCAGAATGCAGCAACACGATGCAACATTTGTCGCATGCAGGGCATATGCTGCCGGTGCCTACACATGTTTGTGGTAACATGCCGCCGATCTGCACTTTCAGAATACGCGGCATTGATGCCAAAGTGTGGACCAAGCCTGTTTCGATGCGAAAGCCCGTGCAGACTCACCTGGTACCCCTTCGAATTCGCTTGCTGCCAACTACTTCGCACGAGTCAGTGTTCTTGACGACCGCAAAGCGTGGTGCTAGGCCTGAGGCGTGACTCTAGGTGCCATCACGACAGAAGGCTTCTGATTCGCCACTTCTTCTGCTCCATCCACACAACTAAGCAGACAGATCGTCTCCGCGGGCTCCTGAGCTTGCCAGCAAGCCTGCACCAAGATCAGAGGCGAGAGACAAAAAGCTGCAAAAGGCTCACAGCTCACACCTCCCAAGCCGCGCGAAGCCCACACGGAAGCGCAGGCGGCCAGACCTGGCATGGGTTTCAACGCTCCCGCTTTATACGCTTCAGAGCACCCGTGGTAGCACGTCTGGACACCACACAATGCTCTTTGCATCCCAAGGTGCCGGTACTTTGTGGACAGACGGCCATCTTTGAGGCGTTGTAGCTGGAGGGCTTCTAGCTGTATCTTGACTGATTGCTCACTGCTTGACGAGGTCTGAAAGGATTCGCTAAATGCTGAGTCATTTTTCTTGCTTGTCTTCTCGCCGCTTTCATCTATGTCAAAAGCCTTCTCTGATCTCCGATGTCTTGCACTCAGGTCAGGGGCCGAGTAAATCTTCTGAGTGCTGAATGGCTGCGATGTTCGCGTGAAGCGAATCCCAGCAAGAAGAAGCTTTCAGCAAGTTGAGACCACTCGGGCCGCAAGCCGATCCAACCAGATGCCAAAGCCCCGCTGCAGTAGCGTTCTGCATTGGGCCTCAATTCGGCAGCTCTTCTGCGGCTGACTGGGCATCAGTGAAAGAGGCTCCAACCCAATGAGTGGCTCGTTCATTCGCAGTTTCTTCCGGGCGCCAATGGCAGCCCCAGGGATGATGGCCTCAGGGGAGGCCACTCCACCGCAGACCATTCAAAGCTCCAGACGGCCCTGAAGGTGGCCTTGTGCTTCTTCTCGGAGGTTTTCAGCGGCATGTGAATGTCGGAATCCCCCATCTTGACAATGCTGCCACCGACGTTGGAGTACCAATGCCTCAGCATGCAGACCCTGGCCCTGGCTCGTCAATTTAGGGCGCTCAGGCGCTCAGGGAGCCGCGTGTCTGCTGCATAACTTCGATTCGTGAAGCTTCCGTCTCGAGTGCCCTCTTCCAGGACCTGGCTGCAACAGGAGTGTAAAAAGCCAAACGAGTTTCGTTGCACATGGGGGGCTGTTCTGACAGAACGTCTCAGAACATGCTGTACACACGCATCGGCACCTTCATACGGAAGTCGTTGAATTGCCTCAGAACTGTTGGCTCATTCTGTGTCTTGCAACCGGCTGACCGCACTGGCAGGTTGAAGATCCAATGGTAGCGCGTCTATAATCTCTGTGATGAGCCGAGCAGCTCCATGTTCTCGATGAAGTAGGTCTCCTTCTTCGCAGGAACTTCAACAACCTCAAGGAAGGCAATGCATCCTGCGATCAAGATTTCAGGAACGATGTTCAGAGCTGTTGCCCACAGTGCCTGACAAGCAAGCTGGTAAAAACAATCAAAAAAAAACCGGGGCGGCGACAGCAGGATCATGCGGAGGGAAAAGGTATGCTCGGATGAAACGATCCACGGAATCCTTGCACCGACAAAAGCCCTAAACGCTTGTCGTTGCTACTTCACAGATATGCCTCGTCCCAACTCAAGTCGATCCGAAGTGGCGCCTCCGCACTTCGGCATAGGTGATCTAGTTCTTTACACCTTCTTCCGCTAGCGCTAGTCCGTTACGATCGGTATGTACTTGAACTGAAAGGTGCGGACTGCAGGTCAACCTTTTTTCCGATGGCTCAAAACCGCAGCGGTAAGGTCAGGAAGTCCGGTCGGTTTCGGCCGGAGCTTCCACCGAAATGGATAGCATGCGGATATCCGGCAGGCCGTGGATGGCAGGTCCGGATATCGGGAAGACTCTGTCGGTTGCACAGCCTACACATTTTGTACACACAAAGTCCAAAATCCACCAGGAATTCCAAGATTCCAAAATCCAAGAAGTGCTACAGCCGGAGAATGGGGACGGTGGCGGGACAAGAAGAGCTGGTGCACCGTCTGTAACAGACCGGATGAACTTAAGTCGAACGGCTGCGGCGAATACGACTTGCCGTTGTGAGCTAGCGGGAAAAACACATGACGACACGTCGAGAAACCAACGACCGGGGGTCGAGAAACAAACCATCAAAATGGCCAGGAATCATGACCACAACCAAGGGGGTTCGCTTCCTGACGTTGCTGCGAACTGCTTCAACAGTATCCGCCTTTGTTTGATGCTCCAACAATGGTCCGAATGAGCGCTGTCCTAACAAGCCGCTGGCCCGTGCCTGTTTGCTTGTGGAGGCTACAAGCTCAAGCTTTGGCATGGCACCTCAAACGGGGATATGCAAGAACTTGCCAGCACCCATTTCACAGTTTGATGTGCAGCTCCACCAGATACTCACGGCCTTCACCATCCTCTAGAAGAACCTTGAGAAGCCTGGCTCCAGCCAACGCGTGCTTGGCACCTCAGCTCCAATAAGAGAGCGGGTGAAAACTGGGTGCACATGCAAGGCTGCTTGCACTAGTTGCTGGGGTTACAACGCAGCGACAAAGCTGTCTCGTCCTTGCCAACGGCCACAAGCTCTGCACCCACCTGCGTTGCAATTGTCTCCACATTTACGAATTCATGTGCACTCCAGTAGTGCTGGAGACATGCAATGCCTCTTCCCCAGAGGCTTTGCAAATGGCGATGCGGCTATTCGCCTGCTGATGTGCACAACGCCACGAAACCGCTCGACGGCCCGACACCGCAGCGCCTGCTGCAGCCAGATGGCTGCAAACTCCTACAGAGAATGCCAGCCAGGGCAGGGAAAGGCCCAGAACGCCAGAGCACCCCCCGAGCTTAGGTCTGGACCGGCCAAGGTGCTCCTTTCATCGGAGAACCCACCTCGCACCGTCAACGCCAGTGGAACTGCATGGGCGAGAGAAAATCCGCGCCTTCATCACATACTGGCGACCGCCGCCAGCACAGAAGGACTCCGGAATTTGGCCACTGAGATCTGGCACCAGAACCTGAAGACCCCGCTCCATCCCAAAATCTGCCACGTGGAACGGAGCTCATTCGGAGAGGCGAAGGCTGAGAACCGCACGGTGACATCCGGCTTGAAGCGCTCCAAGGCACCCGCAACAACTTCTGGCTCCAGGGCGCTGGCAAAGCCGAAGCCCAGCTCCACGCAGCGCCTTCGAGCAGAACCGATCACGTCTTCCGACCGCGAAACACCTGCCTTGCGAAGATGGATGTGCTTGCACCGTTGCCCACACCTCGGCCAACGGCAAGCCTCACGCCGTCACACCGAAGGCCGTTTCTGCATGGAATCCTGCCCTTCGGTGTACCTGCCTGAGACTCTCCCAGTCTACCAGTACCTGTCTGTACCTGCCACTCTAATTCCTTGCATTCCTGGGCTCGGGATCCAGGCCGAGGACACGGTGGCCGCTGCTCAATGGCCTCAACTAAGCCGACAGCTTCTGCGGGATTCCGTGATCATCAAAACGAACTGGAGAAAAGCAAAATTGCTCCCGATGACGAGGTGTGTCTTGTGGAACCGATGCAACAGTGAAAGAGAAGGGTCGAAAATCTTCCCATTGCCTGTGCTTAGAGCTCTTCACCCTTGATCTCTCTGTCCTTCCACCTCAGACTGGGCCCTGGAGGTCTTCGGCCAATCAGGTGTAGTGATAGGCATGTGTTTTTATCTGTGTGTATATACTCATATGTGTATGCACATCTTTTACACAGATAGATACCTGTACCTCTGCATGTACATACCCTTCGGTCGCAAAAGGTCACTTTGCAAGCTACATAATGACATACAGCTGTATAGTTTGATAAAGAACTGCATCCTATCCCATACAGCATGGTACACAATAGCAAGCTGGATTGGTAGTGTATCCGGTTAGAGTTCGACATGTTCTAGCGCACTAGACAATGCTGTAGCATACTGCATGGTGCTGTATTAAATTGACTTGTTCACGGCTGCAGTTATCATCCATTCCATGCATCTATGTAAAATGTTTGCGTAGGCCGTGGTATGAAAACTAAACTTGCACTGCTTTTTGACGCATATGTATGCAAGCATGTAACCTGTCATCTGTATGTATACACACTCTGTATACAAGTATACTAGGCATCGATAGTTGTATGCTGTATGGCAGAAACTGCATAATACTCATGCACAACCAAAACAACAAATGTCTGCACACTACATTTCCATGGCTCGCTAGTTTCAAAGAAATCATCAATTGAGTCCGCGACAAAACCCGGAGGGGCTTGTGCAAAACTGCGACACGATGGACGAGGGATCCAGCAACCGAAGGAAGGGCGGAGACAAATGACCAGCCACATTGCAGGAACCGGAAAGTGAAACAAATATTTTCTGAAGAAGCACTGTTTCAGTCAGCATCTTGACTAGGAAACTGTGATGTTGTGCATCTGTCTCCAAGCCCGACGGCACACCACCATACAGGTCATCCTCCAAACGCCAATCTGCACCAGTTTATCAGGAAAACTGCACCGTTTACAAGACTCAACCCCTGAAAACTCTGCTTCCGGAGCCCTTCCAGGACATGACAAAAGCTCTTGTTAGTGCCCCGCACGAGGCACTCTGCTGCGGCATGGTCATCCTCACACAAACGCGATCAAGATGCAGGGCAGGGAAGCTTGACATGGACAATCCGCTCGCAATATAAATCGCAGTTTACGTTTCGCAACCATGTGCCTGTGCGAAAATGACGGTGCGCGCCATCCGTCTGCTGAAAATTGATTTCCCTCCCTCGTGCTTGAGCCTTGGAGGGTGCCTTCCATGAACGAACCGTTGCTGAACGCCGACAAAGGTAGCCTCTTCAAGTCACAATGCTGCAGGTCAGGCACGGTTTGTCTCTCTCTTGCTGTGGTCCACTCGCTATAACTGACGAGCTTCATTTGGTCAGCTGGAAAGCTGGCAACCAGAAAATGCTCCCGGGTGAGTTGGGTGCACGCTTGACATGCTCGCCGCCGCTGCGTAGCTGAAGTTGCCGGAGTATGAGTATGCCCAGGTGACCCTCATCAGATCCTGCATGATGCCGGACGATTGCGCCTTCGTGTTCACGGACTGACGGGATATTTTTTTTCCTCAGAGGGGGACCGTGACCCTTTGGCCCCTCACCGTCCGCACAGGCCCTGAATGTCGCTGCATCTTCCCACGATCGGTTGTCTGGCCAATTTGCAATGCTTCCGCCTCTCTCAGACTCTCCGCTGGGCACCATGAGAAAGGCATCGGCTATCGCAGCATCAGAAAGGGTGCACAGCCGCATGTAGTGCTGCAGCATGTCTCCACGACTTGAAGCCTACGGAACATAGCAGGTCGATTGATGGCAACAGAATCATAAATGCAGAGGGATACATACCAGGTTGCAACACAAAGTATTCCAAAACTCAGTGCTGGGGACCGTGGCTGCCCACTTGAGCTTCCAGCATCAACCTGCTCTGTGGGTGCCTCCCTGGTAACATCTCGGCCGAAAAAGACCGACCTCAGAAGCAGAATGCCAACGGTTTCAAACAGGTATACTACGCGAACAACTACCTGGGTCAAGATTGTGGTTCTGCTCAAGTGGCTCTGCACGGTCTTCTTCGGAGGCACGAGTGTTTTTGAAGTAGTTGGCAGAATTTCCGTCGACATACTTCTCCCAAGTCTCCAGAGCTGAAGGTATATTTCGGAGAGGACGCAAAGCTGGCTTGTCCCGGCCTCCGACAGATACCGCAGCCAGAGAACACACAGACATGCACACACAGGTTTCTCTTCTAACGGTGCTGCCTGGCAGAACAATGTGCAAGAAAGTGGTTATGCGCCGTCGGAGGGAAAAGCCGTTTTCTTTCCTCTGAAGTGAAGCGAGCCTATGAAAAACTGCAATGTACTGTGAAACAGCATGTTTTACAAACATGATGAACTGCTGCCAGGAGTCGAACGAAGACTGATTCCCAGAATCTCCCATCGTAAATGGTTTACCAGTGGGCTCATGTACCGTTCGAACCTTCACCGAGGCATGTCAGAATGTGATTAGTCGATGCAACGAAATTTGGACGGGAGGAGGCACAAGGCTTCAGCCCGAGAAACCCAGTTATTGCCAAGGAAGCCAGCACGCGTCTGATCCGCAGGTGGTTGTGATGCCGGAGTACTAACGCTTCATACAATCGGCCACGGCCGTTTGGGGCCCGACCAATTTCACCGGTCTCGGAATCAATCAGCCTGCCGCAAATGCGTGTTCCTGCAATCTGCTAACGATTCACCTTGCTCAGCGCACAGCACGTACCATGGATCGTGGACCTCAGGCCCAGGAAGTCCAGGAACAGCCGGTAGGATTGGATGTACTTTCCTCGTATTGTCTTTGATGCCAAACACACCGAAATCATCATGATGTGCAAATTGCTGCCACGCATGTGCAACGCTGTTCACTCGTAGCCTTGTAAGCAATGACAAGATTCGTGCGATCTCTCCGTCATTGCGAAACACATGAGCTTCCGGTTTGCTCAGTTGTGGCGCGGTGGAGTTGAACTGCGACTGGAAATAATTCGGAAAAAGCCACTGAATATACCTGGCACGTTCATTGATCTCCACAAGAACGAACAGGAAATAAACGAACCCTCAAAACATGACCGAGGCTCAAATGATTTGTCTCTAGCTTGTCATACTGGCCCTGCCAACCATGAAGATCTCGAAGGTATCCCAACGAGCAACGATGCTGATCACGGTAAAATTGGACCAGGACATCGCCCATTGCTCCATGAAGGGCGCGCTCCCGCCCGTTCGGAAACTATGTAAATTGTGCTCTTGTCATCAAAACAATCCATCGCAATAGATCCAAGACGGTTTTGGCAATGACAATGAATTACCGGCATTGCTTGAGCACGCCAAATTTTCGGAAGCGACATTTTGGAACATATGGCACATGCACACAGTTGTGCAACAGTAAAACCAAACGAGTAAATAAAAAGAACCATATACGCTGTCTCAGCATCATCCGCTCATCCGTCCATCCATGTACGCACGCACGGAACATTCCCTTTCACTTTCGACGGTGCGGACGTGCCAGTTAGCCAACGAACGCGAAACCGGCAATGGGCCCGACAGCATCCTCCTTCTCCCAAAAGATCAGACTAGTACCCCCTGCCGTCACAATGTTGCTTCCCAAATGCAGCTTCAAGGTTTTCCTTTCCATATCCTCGAACAAGATGGCATGGCACACCCCTGGCTCCTCTATGGATCAAAGCAGCGCTCCGGTCATCGACTGCACTGATGCACCGCCGAAACAAACCCACTGGAATCAAAAGAACTGCTTTCTGAAAGGGAATCTTTGCTTCGTTGTGTCTTCTCTGTCTTCTCGCCTCGTCTCCTATGTGTCCATGTTACCACAAACGGGGTGACTTCTTTTTCTGCTGAGCTTTTGCGTTGTGACATTGTCCTTTTGAACGGACAACAAGCTAGCGCATTTCTAAACCTTCCGATTGTCCCTTTCTTCAGCGTGCAATACCACGTCTTCGACATTTGACATCGGAGCCCGGGCTTGGCGGCATTGCAGAATGCCGGATTCTGTGCATGTCAAGCGAGTGTCGGACATGGTGTTGCGCGTGCGCGCAGCGACCGACAGACAGCTTTTCCACTTTAGTTCAAAACAGAGAAACCAGAGCTTGGCTGGAGTTTTGGAAAAAAGTAAAAGATTTCCTTCTTGGTAAGACTTAAAAACAGAGTGGCCTGAGGCCGCGTCTTCCAAAAATGATTCACCGCAGCATGGACGTCATCCGACTGGCTCGATCCAATTTTGCTGTGGTTCGAAGGTTTGGGTGTGATTGTAGTCTGTTGATGCAAAGGCGATTTGGAGCGTCATAGATCAAGACACTTGAAAGTCTTAAGGTCTTCGAGCATACCCCGCAGGGGCGGGTTGGGGGTTGGAGTTGAACCCAGGTTGTAACCCCGGAAGGCCGGGTGCAAGCGGGGGGGGGCCCAACAACCTTAACCTGAGGTTGTGGGTTCGGGTTAACCCCAACCCTAACCGTTTAACCTCACGTTAGGGTTGGGGTTCAACCCAAACCTCAACCCCAGGTTCTGGGTTCGGGTTAACCCTAACCTGAACCTGGGGTTAAGGTTGGGGTTAACCCGAACCCCAACCCCAGCGCGCCCCGCAGGTTAGGGTTGGGGTTAACCCGAACCCCAACCCCGGTCCGCAGGTGGGGGTTGGGGTTAACCCGAACCCCAACCCCGGTCCGCAGGTTAGGGTCGGGGTTAACCCGAACCCCAACCCCGGTCCGCAGGTGGGGGTTGGGGTTAACCCGAACCCCAACCCCGGTCCGCAGGTTAGGGTCGGGGTTAACGCGAACCCCAACCCCGGTCCGCAGGTTGGGGTTGAGGTTGACGCGAACCCTAACCCCGGCCCACAAGTTAGGGTTTGGCGTTAACCGGAACCCCAACCTCGATCCGCAGGTTAGGGTTGGTTAACCCGAACCCCAACCCCTGTCCGCAGGTTAGGGTCGGGGTGAACCCAACCCTGACCCCAACCACGGG